ACCTTTTGCACATATCTGTTTAATTAAAGATTACTTCCCCTGAATATATGATAGCCAATAATACAAAAAAAAAAACCACAGGTATTTTATGAATTCAGCTAAGAAACCATTTTTACAGTAGTGTTCTAATGAGTTGCAAGATAGAGCCAGACATTTTCCCATATGATAATTGATTTGTGGAACAGCAAAAGCTATAATTGTCACTTTATGGCTCATATCAAAAACATTATGTCCAAAACAAGTATACTTAAAAAAAAAAAAAAATCTTTTTTTTAGAGGGTTAAAAAAAAGAATTAAAAGTAAGAAATAAAAAATTATTTTAAAAAATTGAAGGAATGAGAAGCTCGACAAGAAACTGGCATAATATAAACTCCCTACTTAACACATAATTTGCTTGTATTTCAAATAAGGCAATATCAAAATGTTTATATTCAAATGGCAGCATAAATATTTCATTTATATAAAATAGAACCAGCATTTGCAATTTAAAATGTAATCTCGAGGCAATGAACAAAACAGATTCTTCAAAGCTCTCTTTTAACGTCCAAAGGATATACATATTTATTGATAGATTTTTGCAATCTTGCAAAAATATAATTACAGTTATTTCCATTTAACATGCTATTGTGATGAAAAATATTATGTGTAAATAACATGAATCAAATAATGAATATTTTCCCATGCAATGCTTTTCCAGTTGCATTAAAAAAAATGTCAGATCTACAATAAAAGCTATGATACTACAATGAGATGTTTAACTGTAAGGTGAATGTTTTTTTTTTTTTACAAAGTTCTACAAATAATACATCTATATTATGTAATTTCCAATTAGAGCATGAAGCAGTTTTTCATTATTAGCTTTCTTCTGACATGTTTTCTGTCCAGAGGCTAGCAAGATACAACACTTTGTTCCTTGTCAAAAAGGTTCAAATCATCATGAATGATCAGTAGGCAAATGTAAACTTGGGAAAATAAGTACAAGATTATAATATTTAATATTTGCATTGGTTATCCTACAAACGATGTTCCTATACTATGTTTATATATTATTAAGCTTTAATTGTAATTCAAGGAGTTTTGACCTTTTAAATGTTCAGAATGTGAATTTATAATGATTTCCACCAATGTACTTTGCTACCACAGAAGACCATTTGGCACATAGTAGATCATTGTAAATTTACCTGCCAGTTTGTAGTTTATTTAGGAACTAACACATGTCGCACAGCTGCTTAAAATTCTTTCCTGCAAGGTGTTTAGGATATCCCAAGAAAGTGTTATTATATGTAAGTCTCAAAATAAAATGGTATATTTATTTAAAAAAGCCAACTTCACCAATAACTGGGTTAAATGAGTTCATTCAGTAAATCCGAGAATCTACCGAACTCCAGGGCAGAAATACATGAATAGACCTTTCTGCATAGGAAAATAAAGTATTTAAATGCTGGTCCATAGTCAAAAGGCAGTAGGCAGGCAACCAGGCTCCTCCAATGCACAGTAGTGAGATTGGTTCCACCACAGAACAATTAAACATAAAAAATACCCAGAAATCTCTAAGGTTGGTTGAAATGTGGATGGGCACATTATACCTTCTACTTCCCTATAGATTATCTGATAACATTTGATTTTCATTAACAATAAAATCAAACAGAAAAAAATCCAACTCATTTGACTTGTGAAGTCAATATAAAGTGTTAATATTTTGAGGGCTATTTGAATTATCTGTATTTGAGAGTGAATACAAAGTCAAATAAAAATGTTAGGCCAAAATACTATAAAAGCAAACATCTTCCATGTCTATCAGTTTTCCATCAGATAATTTTGGCTTAAACTTTCAAATTATAAAAATATATTTTTTGTATGTGTAAGTTTTTTTTTTTTTTTGTAAATCTGTTTTTATTAGATAGAGTAATGGTAGTACAGCTTATTCGATTCAGTGTTCAGCAGATTGAGGTCACGTACGACCTGTGTGTATCTGCTACATTATGTTCAAATATGTCACAAGCATAACATTCGTTCCTGAGAACAACTCCGTCGCCGCCTTACATTACGGCAGTCTAGACAACCAACGTTCAGTTTACATTGGTTAACTTGTACATAGTTCCTGTCGTTCCTATATTACGTGATCGGTCAGCCACGAGCTCTCCCTAACACTTTTGTGGGTGTTCGTAGTGGGTGTGGGAACCTATGAAGGTTGACGTCGTATGCGGTATGTTTTGGGTAGCTATGCGTCGTGTCAGTTACCTACGGACTCGCTAAACTTATGTTTTGGTAAAGTGTCTGTGGTAGGTGGTAGGGAATCATAGTTTCCCTGTCCGTGCTACCTTGTCTGTCCTTGTGCCACGTATCTGTTTATGGGTCTGCCTTTTCTAACTGTATATCCGTGCTTTGTAGCTCTAATGGTAGTGTGTCTTGTTTGTTTTTTCCTCGGGGTATGTGACTGTGGCGTGTCTACGTTAAGTTGGTTGTGCGCATGTGTATATGGGAAGGAAAGTGGATGGATTGTAGTCACGAGAGTCGTGATAGAGAAGAAGAGGGAAGGGAAAAGAGTAAGGGTAGAGTATTTAGCTATGAGAAGAGACATGGGCCTCGCCCCGAGGGTCCGGGTCCCCCACCCCCGCAAGCCTCTCTCGATTCATCCTATCGAATCCTGGACATAAATGTAAACCACGGGCGCCACAGTTCTGCATGTTTATCTCCCCTACCCAGTAGAGATGCTTGCATCGCCTCCGCCCCCTGAATGCCCTCCACCCTACGGATCCACTCCTCCATGCTGGGGGTCTCTGTCTTTTTCCAATATATAGGGATCAGAGCCCTGGCAGCGTTGAGTAAATGGCGTAATATCGACTTTTTATACCTAGGTATCGGCATTTGTGATATATGCAGTAGTGCCAGGGCCGCTGTCCATGTGGGTATTTCTCCCAGGACTTCGGTTATGTTTTGTCGTATCATTTCCCAGAAGGGAGCAAGAGTGTTGCACTCCCACCAGATGTGTATCATCGTGCCCTCTATCTCTGCACCTCCAACAGGTCGGAGGAGTTGATGGGAAGATCCTATGGAGGAGGGCTGGCGTTCGGTACCATAGCGCAATTATTTTGTAATTTGTTTCCTGATAGAGTGAGCTAATGGAGCTCTTGTGTTGCCAGATTAAGGCGGTCTCCCACTGCGTGGGTGTGAAGGTAGTGTTGAGCATGGTCTCCCAGTGTCTGCGGAAAGTGTCGTTTTCCGTGAGGTGTCCAACTAAGAGGTGTTGATAAAATATGGATATTGCCTTCCCCACAGGTGTGCCTCTCTCGCACAGTGTCTCGAACCACGTTGGGACTCTATGTAGGCGCTCTTTATCACGCATGCGATTGTAGAAGTGTGTCACTTGCATATACCGGAATGTTATGAGATGGGTCCGGGGTGTATCCCCCAGTAGGGAGTCCAGGGTCCTTATATGGCAATCTTGTAGTATCTTCATCATTGGGATGTATTCGCAGCCTCCTCCAAGAGGTAGGGATGTCGATGTGAGCCCTCCCCCTATTGCGTCACAAATGTGATGGATATCATGGGGCTCGGTGTGGGCGAGACGTGTACCTGTTCCCTCATGCGTCTCCAGCTGGTGAGCGTTTGTGCTACAATTCCCTCCTTTTCCCGGTCTAGGTTTACGTTCGCCCGTTTCCCCCACACTGTGGCCTGTAGGTGTGCCCCCTGTCCCTCTTGTGCCAGAGATACCCATTGTTTGCGCTGTTGCGGATCTGCGTGCAGGTCTAGGATGCATTGAAGGACAGTAGCTTGGTGGTATCTTTTAAAGTCGGGTAGTGCCAGGCCCCCTCTATGTCGTGGCAAGCATAGGATTTTGTGACGGAGTCTTGAGCGTTCGCCTCTCCAGACGTAGTGGATGACTGCTGATTTCAGCTTGGCAAAGAAGGATGAGGGTATTGCTAACGGAGTCGTCTGGAACAGATATAGGAGTCTTGGTAGGGTGTTCATTTTCAGGACTGCAATGCGTCCATGCCAGGAGACTTGTGGATATGCCCATTTATTTAGGTCCGTCAGTATAGTATTCAATAGCGGCATGAAATTTTGTGAGTACAGGTCTTTCGGGTCTTTCGTTATCCATAACCCAAGGTACCTCATTTTACATGAACACCACCAGAAGGGGAATAGTGCTGCTAGTGCTGCGTACTCCTCCTCCGGTAGGGTGATGTTTAGTACCTCACATTTGGATAGGTTAAGCTTGAAACCTGCCATTTTGCCAAAGTGTTCTGTCACTGCCAAGATGTTGGGCATCGTAATTCTGGGGTTGGCAACAAAGAACATAAGGTCGTCCGCGTATGCGGCCACCTTATGTTCCGTTCCCCGCCAGGAGAGACCCTGAATGTCCGGGTGTTGTCTGATCGTCTGTAATAGTGGTTCCAGAGACAGGGCAAATAGTAATGGTGAAAGTGGGCAGCCCTGTCGCGTACCATTAGAGATCTCAAACTGTGCTGTGAGCGCTCCATTTACTCTCACCGCGGCCTTTGGTTCGTTGTATAGTGCGCGTATCCATGTGAGGAGTCTGGGTCCCATCCCCATTTGGGCTAGAGTAGCGAGCATGTAGGGCCATTTCACCCGGTCAAAGGCCTTTTCGGCATCTGTGGAGAGTAATAGAAGTTGTTTTCGCTCCGTTCTCGCTCTGTGTTGTATTGCGACGGGATGAACCCCGTTTGGTCCTCGTGAACCAGTGATGGGAGGGCCCTTTGGAGTCTAGTCGCTAGAACTTTTGTGAACAACTTAGTGTCCACGTTTAGCAAGGATATCGGGCGGTAGCTTCCGCAGGCCGTCGGGTCTTTCCCAGGTTTTGGTAGTACAGTTATTATAGCTGCCAGGGATTCTTTTCCAAATTTTCCCCCCTCGGCCACTGCGTTGATGGCTTTAGTCAGCCATGGCAGCAGGATCGGTGAGAAGGTCTTATAATATCCAGAGGGGAGGCCATCTGGGCCTGGGGCCTTTCCCGTTTTGGTAGATTTCAGGGCTGCCTAGATGTCTTCTGCTGTAATCGCGGCGTCCAGTTCTTCTGCGGCATCTGGGTGTATCGTTTTCGTCACAGTCTCTTTTAGGTATTCCTGTGTACTGCTATGGTCGGCTCCCCCGTCCTCCCCTCTGCCCCGGTCCTGTAGGTTGTACAGTGATTGGTAGTAGCGCCTGAATTCTTCGGCTATTTGGTCAGGGAATGCCGTTGAGGCACCCGAAGGGAGGCGCAGGGTGCGGACCTGCGTGCGAGGGGCATTGCCTTTTAGAAGCCGTGCTAGGTATTTGCCTCCCTTGTTGGCATGGGCGTAAAAGAAGCCCTTAGATTGTTGTAGCGAACGTAGGTGGCGTTTTGAAAGGAGATCTCTCAGTTGGCGTCTGGCTTGCATTAGTTCCCCATAAGTTTCCATTAGCTGGGTCCTCTTGTGTTGCTGTTCTAGTGTCGTGATCGATTTGTAGAGTTCTGCCATTTCTCGGGTGGCTGCCTTTTTCTTTTTAGATGCTATCCGAATGAGGGCGCCCCTAATTACGCATTTGTGGGCTTCCCATATAGAGATCGGTGAAGTTCCTGGCGTGTCGTTTTCCTGAAAATAGTGAATTAGTTCTTCCGATATTTGCCCACGAGCCTCCTGATCAAGAAGGAGGGCCTCGTTGAGTCTCCAAGTCCATGTGCAGGGTCGGAAGAGTGGTGATTCGAGTTCGATGGTTACGGGGCCATGATCTGACCACGTCGCTGGGTCAAGTTTGGCGGAGATGAGGCGCGTTAGTCCTACTTGTCTTATGAAGATGTAGTCGATACGCGAGTATCTGTTATGCAGCGGGGAGTAGTAGGTATAGTCCCTAGTGGTAGGATGGAGGGTCCTCCAACAGTCCACGAGATCCATATCTCCTAAGGTCCTTTGTATGGAGCGTATATGAAGTTGGTTGATGCTACTGTGGCCCGTTGATGAGTCCACGATGGGGTTTAAGGTTGCGTTAAGGTCACCCCCAAGGATTAGCGTGCCCTCGGAGAAACCTTTAAGCTTGTCTAGCGTAGTCCTGAGGAACTGAGCTTGTCTTTTATTGGGTGTGTAGACATTAGCGAGAGTGTAGAGCATCCCCGCAATTGTCCCCTTCAGGAATAGAAAGCGGCCCTGGTCGTCCTGCATGCTGTCCAGCGGTTGGAATTCCAGGTCTCCAGCGATCAATATGGCAACGCCCGCTTTTCTAGTCATAGGGTGATCGCAGAAATGGTTAATCGGGTAGTGTCTATTCTGGAGTTTGAGGGCGGCATTCTTTCGGAAATGTGTTTCCTGCAGTAGCGCGATTGATATGTGCCTTTTCTTCATCTCTCGTAATATGTGAGATCTTCGTTCAGGCGCATTCAAGCCCCTACAGTTAAGGGTGAGGACAGTCAGGGGAGCGGGGCGATACGCTCTCGCGTCCCTGGATGCAGCACTGTTGGCCATCTTTTGGTGCCCACCCCCTGTTGCGTTCAGCCCGCGTTAGGGACCCGGACCCCCGCCGCGCCCCCCCAAGTAAAGGAGCAGTAGTGAGGAAGGGCTGGGAGGGGGATGATATAAAATAAAGTGAGTAATAGAGCAGAGAAGAAGGTTAGGGATAGAGAAGAGGGAGAGAGAAGAAAAAGTGAACAGTTGCCCGGATAGATGGGCACTGTAACCGGGATAGGAGATATCTTGGTTGATCTACCCCTGGTGAAGAGGTGGCTCGTGCTACGGACAGCAGCCCCGTGGGTTTGCCTCGGTAACCAGACCAGAGGATCAGAGCCCGTAAGGTTCCGCCGTATGTGTATAGGCACGAGTGTGGTGTGAGGTGAGTGGTCCGTACCCGTCCAAGTGGAAAAGAGTGTGTGTCTCTTTTGGAGAGCTCGTATCCGCCGCTTCCCGTGGTAATTAACATTCTAGAGTAGTATATAAGATCCATCTCGAACATTTGGCCAAAGCCCAAATTAACAGTGTAACAACATCGGGTATATTTTTCGTAAGCAAGATCACATGTGTTTGCGTTCTATCTCGGCTCTTTGGTAGTCTGGTGTGAGCCAGGGGATCTCCCATGGCTTGTGTCTCGAACCCCCTCACAGGTCCCCCCTCCCTCCAAGCTGTCGCAGGGTTATGCGTCAATTCTCCTAAGGTGCGATTGGGGAATTGCTACTATCAGCTCTCCACCTAGCGTGGTGTTTTCTCCCTTCCCCTGCGTCACCTCATTGATTCTCAGGTCACAGGAGGTGGGCCACGGTCGTATCCCTCTGTGGGCCTCTCAGGTTTGTACCCGGTGTCAGTACGTGATTGGGGGGTGGTGGAGGTGGCGCCCCTAGCGTCGGTAGCATAATCCAGTCCTTATCACCATGTAGCTGTCTAAGTCTCGTCTAGCTAGACATCCTGCCCCGTGGACCCGTGACAATCGTGTTTCGTGGGTGGTGTCTATATCATTTAGCTTGTGAGTGCCCCCTGTTTTTTATACTCCCCTCTCCCCTCTTTGTCGTCTCATAGCTTTTAGTATGGGAGTTGGCTTTGGGATAGTCATCTTCTCCCTACTTCCTTCCCCCGCCCTACCTGTATTTGTCTGTCGGGTGGGGTTGCCTATGTGGGCGTAACTTAATGGGTCCTTTTCCCTAGGCCTCAACCCCCTCTCTTATTTCCCAAGGTTGATCTTTGGGTAGTTCCCATTTGTCTGTCGTGATTATTCGTCTGTCTTTGGCTATGTGTCAGTGTCCCGGTATGCCATGTTGGTTGGTTGTCTCTAGTCTACCCCCCACTCATGTGGGGGGGTTCAGCATAATACATAATACATTATTCATGGGACCATGCGATGAAGCCTTACTGGGACCCCGCCCGTCAGCCGTAAGGAGGGCCTTAGCTGAGTACTGTATGAGCTTTTAAGTCCGGTAACCTGTCCATGACCCCTTCTTATGTCCCATGAGCATATGTCAGGTCGTATCCGGGCGGGAGGGTTAATGGCAACACAGGGTTTAACTTCACATGGTGATACCAGAGTCACATCTCTCGGCAGCCTGGTGGTCCAATAGTGGCTGGGTAGTCGGTCGCCTCCCAGTGTACAGTGTCCCAATGTCTCGTTGTGTTCTCCCGCCCCCCCTGATCCCGTCCCTCCCAAGGGTGTCCAAGGGGTGCGTAAATGATCACAAAGAGGTGGACTGGGAAACCCTCCAGAGTCCCAGTTTTCATCTCCCCCAATATAAAAGGCTCGTGTAAGTTTCCCCTGGTGGACACGATTTCGTCATGTGGGACGCTACTTTTGGGTATTGTGTCGCTGGATTGTCATGTCGAAGACCAAATCCCCTTCATCCCTGTCCTCGGAATCACAACCCGCGGCAGTCCCGCATTACCCCCTCCCCCAGTAACCCCCCTCCCAAAATAAACTTTATGATTGTCATGTGCATGTGTGGAGAGGAGAGAGGGTGGTGAAATGTCCGCTTTCCCCAAAGAAACCCCTAGGCAAGTACGTGTGGCTCCCCTTGTCCTCCGATTTCTGTCGGTTGGTGGGGGGACCCGTGTGTAAGTCAGAGGTGGTGTATTAACTTTTCAGGCGCTGCCAGGAGCCGGTCATCAGCATGATGTACTGTACTCACTCGGCCTGTTCTCCCCTCCCCATGCGTCTCCGTGGCGGAGGTCCGGGCGGTGATCGCTCTCCCCGTCTGCGGGCTGCTCTTTGTTGCCTTTGGACCGGCCTAGAGGTGTCCAGCAGCCAGTCGGTAAACTGGATATGAGGCATGTTCAAGGTGTCAAGGAGTCGCGGTATTTCATCAGGCCATCTGGCAGCCAGCCAGCTATCTTGGTGTCTGGCCATTAAGGCAAAGGGGAATCCCCATTTGTATTTAATGTTGCGTTCACGCAGCGCAGTGGTTATCGGTTTAAGTGCTCGCCGAGCTTCCAGCGTATATGGAGAGAGATCATTGTATAGGGATACTTGAGTGCCCTGGAAGGGCCACGTGGGGCGTTCCCGGGCCTTTCTCATTATTGTGTCCTTGATAGGGAACGAGTGCAGACAACAGATCATATCCCTTGGGCCATCCTCAGCAGAGCGTGGGCGTAGGGTCCTGTGTGCCCTTTCAAATTCGAACGTTTGCGGTGCATCGGTGTGTAAGATAGTGCGGAATAGGTTTGTCAGTACCTCTGCCGCATTTTCTCCTTCGTCAGCTTCGGGGATCCCCCTTATCCTGATGTTGCACCTGCGGCCTCTATTGTCGAGGTCCTCCAGATTCCTGCGCATATGCAAGATCATGTCCCCTTGCCTGGCTATGGCGACGTCCGTCGCGTTGATCCTGGTAGAGTGGGTTTCTGCTGTTTGCTCCAAGGCCTGGATGCGGCCTGCTTGGGCCGTCACCTCTGTGCGGAGCCCCGCCATTTCTGCCCTCAGGGCTTCCTGAATGGTAGTGGTCAGGGTTAGGAGGTCTGCTTTGGTCGCCATGGCCACTGCTATGTTCCTCAGCTCTTCCCCAATCCTTTCTATCGCCATGGGGTCTTCCCCCGGTGCCTGGGCTGAGTGCTGTGCGGCCGGGGGCGGGCTTTCATTCCCGCCGCCATTACCACGTGGCGGCTGTAGAAAGCCGTCCATCGGTCCCTGCTGCGAGCCTGGCTGGGGATCCCTCTGGGTTTGCGGGTGGTCAGAGCGGCGGTTGCGACCCATTTGTCGCACTGGCTGATGTGGGATCGCTTTGTGAAGGTACGGATGCGGCGGAGCTCGGTGTCTAAGCGGCCATCTCGGTCGGAGTACAGGCCACGCCCCCCTGTATGTGTAAGTTAAGAGCTAAAATTGCATTATCACGATTCCTCATAGTGATGATGGTGCAATATTGTGAGATAACTGGAGGCCATGATAATTTAAGCAGTAAATAAACTTACTTTATCACTCTTGGCATAGAATGTGACACTTAAGCCCATACACAACTGCGTTAACTAGGTTAGAGATAACTAAGTCAAATATTCAGAATAATAGCAAGAAATGTTATTAAATATAATATAATAACAATAATAAAACATTTATTTTTATATATATATATATATATATATATATATTTGTGTACGGGATTATGAAAGGGGGCGTACACTTAAAATGGAGAGTTATATTTTGAAAATGAGAGTCGGTTGAGGTGTGCCGAAACCGACGAGAGGTTAGGCCTGTAAAAAAAGAGGGCCCACCCTGAATTATTGATATTAAAAGAGGGTGTGGAGGGAGGGGATTTCCGGAATCGACAAAGACAGGTAAGCTTGGGTTCCTTGGGTTTAAATAGGCCTAAATCCCTCCCACAACTACAGGCATACGCCTTCTATTTGTGTACGGGATTATGAAAGAGGGCGTACACTTAAAATGGAGAGTTATATTTTGAAAACGAGAGGTTAGGCCTGTAAAAAAGAGGGCAAAAAGTAAGTAAACATCATTTATTATAACATCATTATTTAGACATGTTACAAAATGCGAGTCTGATCTCTTTCTCCGGGTTTGGACTGTACTG